AGAACTTCTTTGCTGTGAGAGTGCCAGAGCCCTGGGCCAGGCTGCCCAGAGAGGCTGTGGAGTCTCCTTCTCTGGAGACATTCCAACCCCCCTGGCCACGTTCCTGTGTGATGTGCTCTGGGTGCCCCTGCTCTGGCAGGGGGGCTGGGCTGGGGGAGCTTTCCAGGTCCCTTCCAACCCCTGGGATGCTGTGAAAAGGGACAGAAAAGGGACAGAGAAGGGACCATCATCCCAAAGAGACTTCATAAACGAGGCAGGAAGAGGGTGCTGAGCAGTGATGTGGAGCAGAGGAGGAGCAAAAGGATGGAGCTTGGGGGGCAGATGAGTGAGACCTGCCCAGCCTGGCTTTGCTTTTGGCTCCCAGAATTTAGAAAACCTGCTGATCCAGGGGTGCTCTGATCAGCCAGTTAATCAAACTAGGAATGCTGGTTTTAGGTCCAAGCTTAGCTGGAGCTGCAGGGGTGTTAAGAGTGAAGGGCTTTGCTAGGGTCACTGCATCACTGCTACTGTCATTTTCCTTCTGGTGATGGCCCTGGATGGAGGAACATCCCCAATAATGAATGAGTGTGTTTGTCTAAAAGCTCATGGGATCATGGCACAGTTGATTTATGGAGAGTTCAGAAAGCCATGAGTATCCTCCAGTTGCTTTTTGCTTCTTTTTTCCTTGGTAAATGTGTGTGTGATTAATACAGAAACATAAATCTTGGTGAGTCAGCATATAAATATTATTCTCAGCTTTACATTAAAGGGTCAGTGTCCACCTGAAATGTGGGCTCTTTCCTCCTTACAGCTCTGTATGCTCCTGCTTCTAAGGCCCCAGCCAACTGATGTGGTTTTTCAATCACATTTTTTTTCATCTCTTCCAAACTACTTTTGTGCTCTCCTTGCTCACAAGCTTCCCCCTTCCCCCTTAAAAGGGACTGCAAGGAGAGAAACAGACCCACTGGGCATGGTCTGTGGATGGGGAGAAGCTGATATAGGGGCAAACAGAGAGGAAAATAGATGGGGTTTTTTTCTCTGAAGAGAAAAATAGCAGGAGCACAAGGTGGTTGCTGCATGGCCAAAGTGTGCAGAGCTGCCTGCTGGTCTCTTCATGGGGGCATGGCAGGACCCAGCAGCATCCTCATGGCTTCTCCTCTCCTTCCCACCACCACCCTGCAGGCTCCTAGTGGCCTTGGCTCAGCTGCCAGGTGCTGAACCTGTAGGAAATGCTGAACCTGTAGGAAATGCTATTTATGGTATAACTTTGCTAGACAAAAAGGTTTTGAATATTTAGGAGGGGGAGGGTGGGCTTACAGCCTCCAGTAGCTCCACTGGTAATAAAGGCTCTGCCTCTGCTAAGTCAGCAAATTTCCAGGTGTCCATGCTTTACTATATTTTTTAAACCTGTTTAATCCCCAGAACCCATACACAGCAGTATTTTTGGTTTTTTTAAGGGCTAATCATCCATTTCATAAAAGCCTGGTGGAGTCTGGGGTTGGGGGGGAGGGGTGGAAATAACACTATAAAAATGCAGGAGCATAAAATCTGAAGAGGTTTAGAGGCATGGGATTGTAAAAGATCACAGAAGGTCTGTGGTGTTGCTGTAAAGAATCAAACTGGACCATTCACACACACCCCCAAGCTGCTTCTGCACAGTGCATGCCTGGGAAGACTTTCCTAAAATAACCCCAGAGAAGGACAGTCAGAAAAGCAACAGAGAAAGGAGGTTTCCTGACCTAGAAATGCTCAGGATAAATAGATAGCAGGGTGGTATTTCTTGGAGCATCCTTGAAGGATCTCCAAGGGCTTTGCAGGCTGGGGGAAGTGAAGGCCTCTTGCTTGGGCTGATGAAATGCAGCCACCTCCAGGTCAGGATGCAGCAGGAATTTGTTTGGGAAAGAAAAGAATTGCCTTCTGCTTTCAAACTTGCTTTTGAGGCACTGAGGGTGGAAAGAGCACTTGAAAACCAAAGGAGTGTGGTTGTCCCTCCATTGCACCTCAGTACCAGCCCCAGGAACCATCTCTTGCCAGCAGTTTGAGGCTGCTTTTTGCTTCCTGTGACCTTAGGAGGTCAAGCAGAAATCAGACTTCTAGTGAGTTTCCACCCAGGAATCTCAGGTTCTCCAGCTTTTTCATCCATTCCTTTGTCTTTTCCAAGTCCCTCCTGTTTTCCTTGGGACAGGCTTTATACCAAACCAGAGGAACACTGTTCACTTCCCTTGTTAATATTTCTGTTTGGCTTTTCTTTGGGGTGCATTTTCTTTTTTTGTTAGCACGTGCTGGGCAATGTCCTTGGTGAGCTCACAGGAAAGGTGCTGCCAAATGCAATCCCTGCTGGTTTTTGACTTCCTGTGAGTCCTTTCCTCTGCCCTGCCCCCACCCCTCAAATAAAAAAAAACACCCCCAAACATCTTAATGCATCAAGGGGAGTCTGGTTTGGATTCCTTTTATATGGGAAGCAGGTGTCAGGGAGACAAAAAGTCAGATCAACACCTTTTCAGTTGTTCAGCTTTCTCTGCTGAACAGGAGAGGGTCATTTCCAAAGCAGGTTTTCTTTGGTTGGTTTGGGTTTGGGGTTTTTTAGGTGCTAAATGAATGGAGGGTCAATTTATGAAGTGTTTGTGCTGTTGTGAAAATTTGAGGGGACCCTGAGTAGAGGTGCTGGTGTTGCCTGTACTTCCTGCTGGCCTAGGGTGCCCCCATGGTTGGGGGGCTATGAACAAAGAGGATGGATCCCAAGGTCACTCCTGGTGGGCTGAGACATGCTCTGGTGAAGAACCAAGCCTTGGATCCTGATCACCACCTTTCCTGGAGTCTGGAATCGCCTCAGCCTTGAGGTGTAGTCCTTGAGACTACACCAGCAAGGCTTTGTTGACCTGTAGTGCTTCCCTTGTGTGTCCCTGATGGGCAGTGATGGCCAAGACTCTGGGGTAGAACTTTGATCATTCACCTCAACTGGTGGCTTTAATGTCAAGATGGGAGATGGCAAGAGAAACCCTTGGAGGTGCAAGGACCATTTTCATGGGCTGCCCCCATTCCATTTGCTCTCTACACAATAGTGGGTTGCTTTGTTGGTTTTTTTGGATGCTCAAGGCACCTTCTGCCTTTCCCTGAGATGAGCCAGTCTCACCTAGGAAAAAAAAACACCTCCCATTGCAAAAGGGTTTCACCAATTTGGTCGTAGACTCATAGAATTGTTTTGGCTGGACAAGACCTTTGAGATCATGGAGTCCAACCATTGACCCAGCCCTGCCAAAGCCACCACTAACCCATGTCCCTCAGCACCACATCTACAGGGCTTTGAAATCCCTCCAGGGATGGGGACTCCACCCCTGCCCTGGGCAGCCTCGGCCAGGGCCTGACAGCCCTTTGGGTGATTAAATTGTTCCTGATATCCAGTCTAAACCTCCCCTGGCACCACCTGAGGCCATTTCCTCTTTTTCTATCACTTGTCAAATGCAGCAGCTCCCCAGCTTAGAAACAAGGTGATTGGTGTCACCTCATGGAAAGGGTCACTTTACTTGATAAACTTGCTCTAAGCTTGGCCAACCCCTGATACATCAAGGGCTGGTGAAGTTCAACACAGAACCCAATTCAGCTCCTGGTGAAATCCTGAAATGTGATCTCTATTCCTTTATTCTCTTCCTGGAATGGACACTGTCCCTCCCATGCCCAGGAAAGAAGGGAACAAGTGCTGGGAGGCCCCAAGTTTTGCCTGCAGAGCCCTTGGTGTCCTGCCACAGCCAGCCTGTCCCTGCTTTCCCTAATGTCACATTCAGGCCCTGGTTTTTCTTTTTTCACAGCAACTGGATGAGCTGTGTCCTTCAGAAGGCTCTCTTCTCTCATGTTACAGGCTGCAGGAGGTGATGAGGCCACCATCTCCCCTGCTGAGCTATTCTTGTATCCCATAACCATCTCAGCTGAGAACTTGTCTCTGATTTCCAGATGAAATTTGTTGCTTGTTCTCCATCCTTGTCTAAAAGGTCTAAAAGCCTCCTGCCAGGAGATGACTTTTTCTGTGCATGTGTGTGTGTACAGAGTGATCAGATCCTCTCAATATCTCCTCAAATCTTGCACCATGAGCCTTGCAGTCCAGCTACACACCTTCTGCTTGCAGGTCCCTATGAAATCCCTCCACCCTGTGTAGTCCCTTCTTGGTGGTG